TGAGTGATAGACTCTTTTCTCTTCACAGTAACAAGGAATTTTTCCTCACTGAGATTTTTTATAGATATGAAGGATTTTTAGTGAGTATCACTGCAGTGCTGAGCTGATTCTATAAAGTCACTCAGTGAAAGACTTCATAGATGAAGTCTTAGAGAGAAGAAGATATATAAGAAATTCTGCTTCTCACAGATTCTTTACCTCTATTTCTATCTCTTATATAATTAATAAAGCTAGTGACTCTTGACTACACATAACTATATAGACTGAAGTTCATGAATACTATTCATAACTCAGCTTGAATGCTATTATATATTTAATCTCTACATTTTATCTTTCTATCATGAGTACTTTTAGTAGTTAACAGTATATATCACGCCAAGCTGCAAATACCTGAATAATCGCCTGCGAGCACTTATTCTTACAGAAGTGAAGCAGAAGAATCTATGAAGTGTAACAGAATAGTCTATATAATTGATCAGGCGCAGCCCGCCACAGTTACTTTCTTAAATAATATCAAAGATCAATTATGTAAGAATCTATCAACTAATTTAGTCTTGAAAAACATGTATTATAAAGTGATGTAAGAGAGAAAATATTATTTATTCATACTTAAAGATAATCTTTTATTCTTTGTTAATAATTATCTCTGTATTACACAGATCTTAGCAGAAGATCTCATTCACTTATATTATATTACTGCTGAACACTCTGATCTTCATTAAATAGAAGATATTATACCCTGATTCTTTCTCTTATTTCATACTTATAAATGAATTCTTGATTACATATTATATTATCTCAATTGTTAACTATCTAAGCTGTTAAATCACTTTCAGTGAGAGAAATTATATCTTATCTCATCTCTGAAAGAATCATTTGAGATTGTGTCAATTAATTTTATTACTGAATTGCTGATAAGTAACAACTATAATATAATACTGACAGTTACAGATAAATTCTTAAAAGCTGTTATTCTAATTACAGAGTAAGAGAAATGAGATACTCTGTAGTGAGTAAAAGAGTTCTACAGAGAAGTAGACTGCTATTAACAGCTCTCACTAATAATTATCTCAAATAGAGATCTAAAATTCACATTATAATTCTAAAAGAGTATTTTTTAACAGATGAGAATTAAGAGCTGAATAATAACTGTTTATAATTCTCATTCAAATGATCAGAGTAAGTGAATAAATCTCACTATTAAAATTACTTTACAAGTGCTTCTCATAGACAAGTATGAATTATCTTGAAGAACTCTACTCAATCAGGTGAAAAGAGCTTTGAACTCAGTAGCTACTTACTCAGTGATAGTCTCTTCATTTGAATTACTTATGAGAGTGAAGCTGAGATAGCTGCTGCTGAGAAATAAAGAAAACTGAGCAGATATAGCTGAATTCATCACAATCTGTAATACAGTATAATGAGATGCTCTAGAGTTATATACTCTTATGAAAGCTAAAATGACTGAATTCTTTGACTGCTTTTATACTCAATCAGTTATCAAGATAAGAAACTTTATCTTTCTTAATCTAGCCTGCAAGAATGAGAAAGAATATGTTATTCCCCTCGCTTCATCGCGCGGATGGCTTGGTCTGTCGGCTCATGGTTCGACAACGATTCATTTAAATAGACAGAGAGCAAGAGATTATTACCGAACAAATCAACCAATGAGTAATTCAGTTTCAATCATCCGAGGGCGGCTTAACCTCCACCTTGCCTTTCCCTACCTCGCTCCAATTCGTGCTGAGTGCCGTCCCCTCGCTCTCGTAGTAGCTCTTTACCATAGCCCTTCGGGTATCAGGGTCAGCCTTAGCGTACAACTTCTTGAAAAACGAATCTACCGGGTCCCCACTCCCATAATCTGAATTATCGGACTCAGCACCTTCATCCTCATCGTCGACACTTTCCTTGGCGTCCTTGTCGGCTGCCAGAGATTCGTTTTCTTTGTCCTTGGATTCTTTCTTCTTCTTTTTCTTGGTTAGGGTTGAGGCTACTTTATCCCAATCTTTAGGACCCGTGCGGGATGAGGTAGGGTATGAGGGAATCTGATCGGTAGACGAGGTTACGGTGTTTGGTCGTGGTGCTACAATGGCTGTTGGTGGTATAGTAGAGCTGGTAGTTACATTGCTGCCCTGTCGCGATGTACTTTCTAGTCCGCCCCATTTTTGACCCGGCTGTTTCTTGCGGAGAATTATTTCTATTTTCGTAGACATCACAGTTGCCTTGGAGCTGGTTGAATCAACGGGTGAAAATAGGGGGTAAAGGTTGAAAGAAAGGTCTGAGCCAGACACCGTGGGGAATGTTACGGAGAGCTGCGAATAGTTAGCAACGCTAGGCAGAGGATCCATGCGAAAGATATGGCCAATTCCATATACATACCGAGTCTTCCTGGATATCAATATCCGCTTTTTCCTTTGGTACACCCTTCGCATAAAGCGTTATGACCACCGTATCGTATGTTTGATACCACTCATGCCTTACGTTGGTTGTAATGGGAGCTTGTGGGGGAGGTGCGGTAGACGGCTGCTTTGGCACAGGTGTAGAAGATGGCGCGAGATTTCCTAGCCCGGAGACTCCCTTGCTGCTATCTATAGATCCTTTATTCGCGTCCATAGTTCCCGTAGACATCCCCGCACCTCCTTCCAGCTGCTTGCGAAAAACCTCCTTCAGCTTCGCTTCCTCCGGCACCTTGATATCAGGATACTCCTTAACTGTAACCTGCAGCCGCTCATCGCCCTTCTCCAATTTCCTCATCCAATTCCCAACCTTAATTTCCCAAATATCCAGCTCTTTACTCGTGGTCTTCGCAGATGTGGCACCGCCGCCACTATTTGCCGCCATCGCAGACTCCATGGTATTCGACACGCTCGGGCCAATTTTACTCCTCACGACCTCAAACACAAAGTGCGCATCTCCGTATCTCCCTAGCTGATAGAGAACAATAGCCCTGCGAATTTGGCCAGCTAGTATCTGTTCCCGTCTCGCACGCTGCAGAGCCAGTGCCACGGCCATTTCAGAATCATGAAGAGCTGCCTGGCCGTTGGGGCCTCCATCCTCCGCGCGGAGACGTGAGTATGCGGTCGACCGTTTGATGTAGTAGTCTGTGGCGTGGGGGTTGACGATGAGGGCGCGCGTATAGAGTTCGATTGCCGCTGGGAAGTTAGAGGCCGCAAGAGCCTTTGCGCCTCGTTGGGCCTCATCCATTGTGAGTTGGTAGGCTCAACGGAGCTTGGGGTTGTGTGAAGTGTGCCAGGAGTTACGTTGGAGGGTGGGGCTTGTTGCGTGATATGAAGAAAAAGTATGCGAGCAAGTTAAAAGATTATTGCTATCCGCGCATGTAATCTCAAAATAATAAAGGGCAGGAGGACGTTAGGGTGAGTGATTTAAAATGTGGTGTTGTCTGGGTTTGCTACGGTGTTTGAGATGGTGAGCTTCGAGGAGCTTCAGCGGAGGGGCATTCTAAAACCAACGTAATAGTCTAGCCAGGCCGTAGCGGCGGCCGCCTTGGTGGCGTTGCGCTAGCGATCGCTCCCCTGCACGTGATCTCTCATGTTGTTGGTGATTACTACCACATGGGAAGAACGTAGGGTTATTACACGACCAGATTATGGTTGTTCCACCATTTCAATCAGTGACACAGTCGCCGAGCTGTAAATCATAGTATAATGATGAATAAATGATGAAATCACTGTAAATAAGTGATAAACTGAAAAAATCAATTATTATATTGATGATGTCACTGAATTCAATCTATATAATCACTAATTTTAAAAACTGTCTCATTTATCAGTATTATTCTCTATTGAAAATCATAGATACTTCTATCTAAATTCTTCTGAATCAACTGAATCAAGTTTCTTTCATAGTCTTTATTTCTAGTTATATTACTCTTATTAATCATATCACTGAACTTATAAATTAAGATTTATAAATTAGTCATGATTTGAAAAATACTGTTATCAGTTATTTGATATTTAAAAGTTGAGATTTTAAAGTGATTAGATACTGAGTATTTGAAAGTCTATATAATTATTAATCTCTGAATAAATCTGAGAATCATTTCACTAACTCTAGTCTACTGTTTCAATGATTATTTCATAAGTCTGAGAACTTAGAACACTCATCAGAGTCAGAAGATTGAAGAAGAATAGAGAGAGAGAATTAATAGTGATAATAGAGAGACTAATAAGAATTATAGAGAAGAGAAGAGAATTATTACTATTAATAGATTTTTTATCACTACTACTCTTATTAACTATATTACTGAGAAGTTTAATAATTATTTCAAATCAGTTTATTATTTTATATATTTTAATAAAAATACACTGTACTTTCTCTCTAATACTGTTAATTAAGTTTATGAGATTCTTTATCACTGCTTTTTAATCCTTATAATAATTATTAATCAATCTCAAGATCTCTTACTAAATAGTAAGTTTTATATTTTTAATATTCAATTTTCTCTTTTTAATAATAATTTTCTTCTTTTTCATAGTAATTTTCTTCTTTTCAATCTTTAATTTAATTCTTTTAATATTCAACTTAGTCTTCTCAATTTTAAGTTTGACTTTTTCAGCAGAACTGATAGATGTATTTAAGACTTTCAATGTGATAATTATACTCTTCATTTTTTAATTTTCTGCTTTCTATCAGTGTGTCTTTACTTTCTTGATTTATTTGAATAAATTCTTCACTGTCTTCAGTATGACTGACTTGACTGATTTCTTCATAACTGTTAAGACAGTAAGATAAAACTCATGAGTTCAGATCAGATTTTCAATTTCATTATTGAATTTATTAGAGTATATTATACAATCTTTCTTTTCATAATTACAGTTTAAATATGACTTTATACTTTCTTCAACTTTGTCACAAATAGATTTAATATAATAGAGAAAAATATATGAGATGCAGTGCTTACATATTGTTGACTTACTAGATTTGATGAGAGTATTCAGCCTGCTTACTATCTCTTTCTCTTGTGCTTTTACTGCTGCTGCATGGGTACACTTGAGAGTGTCTTCAGTCATTTTAATGTTATTGCTGCTGCTGTTGTTGCTGCTGCTGTTATTACTGCTGCTGTTGTTACTGCTGCTGCTGTTACTGCTACTGCTCTTGCGGCTGCTGCTGTTGATATTGCTATTATTACTATTGCTGTTATTACTGTTACTGTTGTTACTGTTACTACTGTTGCTGCTGCTGTTGAATGAAGTAATAGATTACTAATATTCTTAGTATACTATACATATTAGACATCTTGACATTACAACTTTTAATATTCAAAGCTTTCTATTATAACTGGCAGAATACTAATCTCACTGAAGATGAGAAGAGCTTAGTGAACTAAAAAAATTAATGTTTGTATTATGATATAATTACAAGAAGAAGAAAGAAAGAAAGAAAAAGAAGATGATAAGTTATTCTCTTTATATATATTATTAATTTATCTTTGCAGATTATTATGCAATGAATATAAATACTTTCATATTTCATTTCTGAGTGTAATCAGTGTATCTGATAGATTTCATTCATATCTTAATACTTTCTGCACAGGCTATTGCTGAATAAATTACAGCTATTTTGAATATAAAATCATTTCTATTAACTAGAAACAAGTATTCAACACACTGTCAGAAATATATCTACAGAATTCAAGATTTTCTGATACAGTGAAATCAGAGAATTCTTCACAGCCATAATTATACAAATTGTAAGATAGAGAATATGACAACTTTCTTCAGTGAATATTGAGGCAGGTATATTCTAATTATGTATATTAAAGTATATATTAACTAATTTATACATAAAATTCATAGAAAACTAAATATATTGAAATATAAATAGATTATATTGAAAATCTCTACATCACTGATCTGTCTTTCACTGAAAGTATCTCTGAAAATTTGATCTTTTTTCACATCTTCTCTCATACATCTTTCATCAGATGTCTCTTTTTTACTGTTAAGATATTCTGAATCATCTCAGCAAAGTCATCTCTAATAATTTACTGATATTCAGAAATATCACTTATCAGATCTCAGAATGTCAGAATATTTTGCTATTATAGTATAGCTGTAGTGAAATTTTCATTTATATCAGTATTATCAAATATTTTGACCTGAATTACAAGATTAACATATATCTCTATTTTTCAGAATCAGTTTCTAGTTTTTCAATTCAAAGTTTTCAATTCAATATCTTTAATTAATAAATATTCAACTTACATTTCATATATCATTGTTCTTACTCAGAGAATCAATCAAAGTCAATGATTCTCTGCACTCAGTAAAAAACCAGAAAGAACTTTTCAGCAGTAAATGAATCACAGAAGTATTCAAAGATGATTAATTCTTCATAGCAGTTATATAATCTGATTATCACTGAACTTTCTCTACTCTTTGTCTTCTTCTGTTGAATATGATTCTATATTAATAAATAATTAGCTAAGTTGATCAAAAATTTTTTAATATCTCACTGAAAAGTTTCAAATTCTTCTAAGATATCTCATTAAAAAGTTGATATATTTGCTAAATTCTAATACTACTTGTCTTCATTTCTTTGAGAGTTCAGAACTTTCATGTTTTAATTGTATTCAGCATCATCATTCTGCTGAATGAAAAGATGTATGATGTTTTATTCTTTATTTTTGTCACACTTGCAATCATTCAATTCAAATTATCTTTGTTGAAAGAAAGAAAATACATTCATTTTATCTTCAGATGCAGACACTGCTCTGTCAGTCAAATTTCCTTCTCATACATTTCTGCATTCAGATGCTGAGTTCAGTGACACCTTTTTGATAAACTGCTTGATATCAGTGATAAGTTTGACTTCTTCTTATCTGACTGATATTTGTTATTACTGCTATTATATTCATTCTCTGTTCAGATATATCAATATCAGATTTCTTTTGAAATTGATGATTTGTCTTATTAAACCTATCAGATGAAAGAGTTTGAAGAGCTCTAGTAGAGCAGAATTCATGATAATATTCATTTTCAGAATCTTGATATCACTCTGGTAAATTTGTGATATGAATAGAAATATAGTAGTTTGATTCTTAATATTAAATTGATGTAGATTGTCGCTAATTACAGCTCTTATTAATATATTTCTTTTCAGTAATTCAACCTCATCTCTTTATTTTATCAAGATCACTCACTCACTTCATTTATATCTTTTCAAATATGCAACTTTTTTCTACAAATCATATCAGAAAGCAAAATGTCACATCTGTTTAATTGAAATTCAAAACACTATCTACTATCTGTCTATAGACAAGAATCTGAGAATGATCAATTGAAATTTCAACATCAGAGCCTCTCTTTTCTGAAAACTGTAAATGAAGATTTCACTGATAGTGATTCAGACAATGATGCTCTCTGTGAAGAAGCATTGCTATTCTCAGTAAGTTTATCACTTTTAATGTCTCTATTATTATAACAACTAACATTTTCTAAAGACAGAGTCATATAATAAGAATGCTGCTGATAATGTTGAGCATATTAAGTGGCTTTTAAAAGCAGCTACTGAGGAGAATATTTCTGAAAATGATGATCAAGAGAATTATGATGAGTCAGTTACTGATGATATTGAAATATCAGCTGCTGATGCAATTACTGTTACTATTACTGATTAATTTATTGATTCTGATTCAGTAATTGATATATCTCATAAATACAGTAACTTTAAAATGAATTCATTTGTTCTGATAATAAGACTCTGATCTGAAGAGTCAGATATTTACTGAAAAAACTACAAATCACTGCTGCAAATTCTGTATTTATTGAAGAATACATCACTGATAAGTCTGCTCTCTGAAGATCTATCAACTCTGAAAAAGCAATGCACATCACAATTTCCAATTTTATCAGTCAAGAAAACCTCAATTTCAATAGTATTATTAATATAAATATTAACTCTGAGTTCTGCTCAGAAAAATCTCACTGAATTCTTCATGAGATCACTCTACTTTCAAAATTCAATTCTCTTGATATCTGTTCTTCTCAAATCCCCAACTTTCCAGTGACAAATGTATATAGAAATGACAGAAATTGTCAACAATCTCACAGAGTTATGACAATCTCACAGTTGAGAGAGCTCAGTCAAATATTATTCTAATGACTTTGTATAATATTTATCAAATAAACCTATTTTTCTTTCTGATTTTATTTGATATCAGTGTGAGAATCTCAAATGCTTTTGCAAATCAGAATTGAATGATATATCTCACATTGAAAGAGTGCATTTTGTCACATGTAATTGCTGACATTCAGACATGAGATCTCATATAATAATTCTGAGAGTTTAAGAAGCTGTTCACTATACTCTGCAGACTGCACAAAGATTATCATCCTTGAATTCATCATTTAGTCTCTTTGAAATAATCACAATAAAGAATGAGATGAAATATATCTCAATTACTCAAGTTCTCAATCAACTTAATGTTCATATGAATGCAGTATTTGGATTGAGTTCTGATCTGCTAGTATATGATAGTCAAGATCAGTATTTTCTTCACTGAATCATGAGAATCAAAACTGGAGTTGTTGAGATACGATTATATTGCAAATCTTTGCTGATTTGAGCTGAGTTGAAAATTGCAGCACATGATCAAGATCTTTTGAAAAGCATATTTTACTATGATAAACAAGTTATTTCCCTGTCATATCAATTATTTATTGATGAATTTGATTTATATCAGAACATGTACTGAAGCTTGATGAGTTTTTATATGATTTCTGCACTAAGTGCTGTCAAGTGCTCAAAGCAAAACAATATTTTTATCCTAATCTTTGATTTTCATGATATGAATTTTCCTGATACTGTTGCTGCATTGTTGCATGACATATCTACATTGAATTATAAGAGAGTTATGATGAATATCAGTGAAGAAAAGATGAGAATTATTGCATCTTGAATTGCATTTCTTGAAGATATGCTGCAGCAAAATAGTAATACAGGGATCAAAGAATCAACTGCAAGAAGATCATGCTGAAGCTGCTTTATTAATGACAAAAATCAGCTGAATCTGAACTATGATCTATGCAATAACAGCTGATTTCATCATTATATGCAACATCTTCAGTCTAAACTGAATGACCTGCTGAATCCTACATACAGAAAACAAATGTGTCAAGAGCAGAGTATGACAGCATAGGCAGTGTCTCTTTTTCAAATATATTCAAGTTTGAATTTGATCTTCTTTTTTCCTTCTGATTCATGTCATAGGGAGTTCACTGAAATATCAGATATTTCACACTCATTACTGATCTGCTCTGTCTTGTTATCACATGATCAGCTAAAATACTTCTGAATATTACAGATATTGTCTTTTCCTTGTGATTGGAATCATTTGCAGTCATCAATCACTTATCTCAAGAAGTATCAACTTCAGAAGCATCTCTGAGCCTCAATCATTATATCTCTTTTCTTGTGGTGTGAGTTTAGAGAGGAATAACTCAGTTCAGCAATCTAGCAGGCCATTTCTATGGCATTTTCAGCAGTAAATCAATCACTCATTGATCTTATTATTCAGGTACATGCAGCTATTACAAGAAGCAATAGTCTATTGATGTCTCAATCATTGAGACAAAATGATCCTGAAGTGGCTCATCAAATCATACTGATTATTATTATTATTATTCTTCAATTATAGATGTATGCAGTCAGAGACTATGACATCTACCTGAGAACTAAAAGTTCGCAGGGTTTTTCCTATATCTATAAAGTTAACTATTATACATTCACCAATTTCAGATATATAAAATCAGAAAATTCCAGCTCAGAATACAAAAACTGTTTACAAATTGCAGTATTTTAACATCTTCTGATACTTTGAAATCATTTGACAATATCATGACAAAAGAAAAGAGAACACAGTCTTAAAGATAGACACATTAAATAGATAGATAGGAAAGAATAGAAAGGAAAAAGTACAGTAAAGTAAAGAGAGACTGTAACAAAACAAATTATCAAAAGAGAGTATATAGCTGTTTTAACAGACTATATCTAATCAATTTCCTCCTCTTCATATTCAGATATTTCTGAATTCCTGTCTCAGTTGAGAATAAGAATCTCATATTTAATTGATTTAGAGCATACTTCTCTTTCAAACTGACTCTGAGACTATTGTATAATGCACAGTGTATTACAATATACTCAGAATTCTCATTTGCATTGCAGAATGAGCATTTTATTGAATTAAATC